CGCTATCACTTGACTTAAAATATTTTTGCCCTTCCTTGCCTTTAAAGGAGTGCCCCTTTTCCGTGCTGATGTTGATATACTAAACATTAAATCTATTACGAAAAAAGAACTAAACAAAATGAACACAAAACGATCAGCTTTAAAAAAGAACTCGTAACTGGAAAAATCGAATGAAAAAAGAATGTTAACAACAAATACTTTTTCACACCCAACCCAGTTCTGCAGAATCAGAATCAACGCTGAGTTTAAGCAAGTGAATGAGCCAATTGGAGTAAAGTGCCATGCAGATTTAAATTTTTCCCACTTGTGACGAATGCAGCTATCGATTTTTTTGCATGCTAGCATACTAGTTAACATTCGTGTCAGTCAGCTGTTGGCTCTCACGTTGGCCAATAGAATCTTCCTGCTTATTCCTGGCAGCTAGCTATTGGATCTCACTCTGGCCAGTAGAAAATGGCCGCAAACTACATGGAAACTGCCGTAGAAGCATGAAAAAATCGATTATTTTCACTATCGACGGGAGTTGGGAAATGCAATGTCGGTCTTGACCTTCCTGTTAACTTGGAGCATGTGCATGTAAATTTTGGTGTAAATCCGTCAAAAATTGCGGCCGTGCATTCGTCACACACACACACACACACACACACACACTTACACATATCCTGCCTTTTATAGATGGAGATAGTTAATGAGATTTCCTATGTGTCCAGACTTTAGGGATATACTATAGCTACTGAAATGTTATCTTTTACTTTAAGAAGAACATTTGAAAAAATATCTCATTTTAAGGTGTTTTTAGAGACAAGCAAGGTGACCCCAAACATTTTGCCTGTAGTGTAGGAAGAGAAAGAAAACATGAAATTGCGCTCATCGGTCGAAGCAAAACTTACAGCACAAACTAAATCCACATTGAATCGAGTATCGTCTTAATAAATCTATTAATTAAATTACTCATTAAACATTTACATTATTTACATTGTTCGAACTGTTCACCACCTCTTTATTGTCATTTTCACGATGTTTCGGCAATTGTACGTTCCGGCCTTCTTCAGATGATTGGAATTTCGAACTGAACCCTTTATTTTGTCCACCGGGGTAGATTATTCTAGTTCCACGTGCCATGCCCCAGTTATCTCCCTGTAACTCAAATGCCCAAGTTTTTTGTTCAGTATTGCCGATTTTCGGTGGATGAAATAAAGGGTTCAGTTCGAAATTCCAATCACCTGATGAAGGCCGGAGCGTACAAGGGCCGAAACGTAAGCATGGCAATTTAAAATGAGGACAACAGTCCGAACAATGTAAATAATGTAAACTATTACAATACCTCATCGCAGAAATATAGTAAGACCCCGAACAAGGCCGCAGCGTACAACGGCCGAAACGTCGTGAATATGGCAATAAAGATGAGGATAACAGTCCGTCAATGTAAATAATGTAGATAATTACAGTACCTTATCTCAGAAATATGGAAAGACCCTGAAGAAGGTCGAACGTACAACGGCTGAAACGTCGTGAATATGGCAATAAATATGAGAACAACAGGGCGAGCAATATAAATAATGTAGATAATTAAAATACATCATCTGAGAAATATAGACAGATACTCATTAAAACACATGTATCAATGGATTTAATCTTTTTTCGGGGGGGGTCTTATTCTGTCCTTTTGTGTGGGGAATTATTTTCCACTCTACAAGCCTCTTGTTGCTCTATCGTTATTCTCATGGAAAGTGTTCAGACGAACTACATTCAATAATTCCACTAGTTTTAACTTTTACGGCCAAGAACCAGCCATTCCACGCATATTGTAGCGAACCGGCCTCATTCCATTTGGCGAGAAGTAAGTACCACTCGAGCAGCTACTTCCCGTGAACCGCTCGTCTATTGAACCGACACCGTAGAATGAGTTCCCAATCATAACATTGAAGTCTTCCCCTTATGCAACCCTCTACCTCGAGTGGTTCTTGGGCCTTGTACTTTGGAAATCATTGCAATATATATATATATATATATATATATATATATATATATATATATATATAGTTTTTGTGATTTGAAAAACGTTTGGTACATTTCGGCGTAGCCTATTTGGTGTGGCTGATTCGGCGTGGCAGATTCGGCGCCAGGAAAATAATTGGGCTATTAGGGTTAGCAGTTTAGGCGTCAGACTGTTTCGACGTCATTGTCTTTGACCGGAGGTCCCCCCTCCCACCAAAAAAAGGATAAAAGCATTGAAAAAACCCACTTTCAATATGGCTTTTTAATTCATTTAGGGAATTAAACATCCTATTCAAATATTAATGGAATAATATAAATTAAAAACTTAAATTAAAAATATTTCAAAAAGTAAAGGAAAATAAGTTACTCTTTATTAGGAAGCAGAGCATAAACTACTCTTTTTCTTAAATTGAACTATTCGAGCATATAACGACTAATTTGACTACTAAACGAGAGAAAGAGAGAAAGATTGAGAGAGAGGGAGAGAGAGAGAGAGAGAGAGAGAATAAATTTGACTATAACGACGGTATAGTAATCTGACGCCTAATTGTCTCTCTGCCGAAAAATTCCTACGTCGAATCGGCTACGACGTATCAGCAACGCCAAACGGTCTACGCTGAAAAGTTCCGTTCCCGTTTATCTATTTTTTATAAATGATAAGTTAACCTGCGAGATGGTGTAGTACATGTGTGTCCAATGTAAGAATCTAATGTTCTCTGTTGATTGTTAGTGTTGAAGATACAATCTTCCAAAGAACATGAAAATCCATAAACAACACTACCTTTTTACATGGGTTGGATTTTTTCGGTTTAAGGAATTAAGCATCCTATTCGGGAATTAAACATCCCCAGCAGCTTTTTGGAACCGATGGGGATGCTTCCCCGATTACTGTAGTCTTAACCTGTTCAAGTCTAGAGTTAACCGTTATCTTCCGCCACATATTCCCATAATCTGTACCTCTCAGTCTGTAACACTTTACCTCGAGTGGCTCTTGGGGATTGTACAGGGTGGACAACATTATAAAAAAAAAGGAAGAAACATTTTGGAAGATATCTTTTTTAAAGAAAGAAAGAAAATCAAATTTGATGCTAGAAAAGGAAAAAATGGAGAAAAATATTAATTATATCAATAGAATTTTATTTTTCGTTTCTTCTTCATTTATCTTTCATTCATTTATAGCTTTATTTTTTTTCTCTTCGTTTGTTTTGCTTTCATCTTTAAATTTTTTTTCTCTGTTTTATTTTTACTTCATTTCCATTTACTGCTTCTACCAGCTTCGCCATTCATTGTCTGGTCACATTAACCCACGACATTCCAGATTTTTTCTCTGCAATTCTCAAGAGAATCGAAGACTAAGAAAATATTCAGCATCACAAAGGAATTACATTGTTATGAGAATAAAACAACGAAGCCAACAAAAAAAAAAAACGCCGCCATTTTAACAATGTCCCTTTTCGTTTTTGATTGTTATCATCTCAGCTTCCAAGCGACGTCGGCGTGCCAAGTGATAAATCCTTCTATTTTTATCTCATTTTCTAGTTGAAAATAGCCAAGTTTCTTTCTCCTTGCCTTATCTGCGTGGACAGTGAAGACCAGCAAGTCCCTGACGCAAGCAAATGCTTTCATAAACCTGATAAATATTCTTGAGAAACACCGACCACGTGGTCTGACGATAAAACCGGAATATTAGCAAACTCTTTTAATGGTGAAATTGATACGAGGTAAATAAGATAAAATAAAGCGAAATTTGAGGAAATTAAATTTACTTACTTATCTATAGCGTAGATTTTTCAAGTGTCATATAATAGTCTTTGTTAATTTGCACGACTGTTACGCCCTGCCAATACCTTACAAATAATGTGCTATTTCTTTTTAATCGCGTGGAAAGACAAGATTTACCAGAGACTCTACTTGGTTTCAGTGAAAAAAGAAAAAAAAGATAGAAGTGTTTAGCCTTTTCTGCTAATACCTCATTAATAACGGACTATTTCGTTTTGATCAGGTGAAAAGACAAGTGACATATCAAAGACGCTACTTGTTTTCTGTCAGAAAAGGAAGGAAGGTTTGTCTCAAGGTCCTTGATAAAATCCAGAGATGGATATGCAATGTAATTGGCCCTGATCTGGCATCTCGTCTGCAGTCGCCTCCCTCTGTCTTTTTTACAAATACTTTCGCGGTAACTGCTCCGATGAGCTGCTTTCACTGGTTCCCAGACGTCATGAATTTAAACGTTCAACTAGGCTGGCATCTCGCTCACACCCGTTCACTGTCGAAACTGTTAAATGTAACCGTCTCTTCTACTCCAATAGCTTCATGTCTCTCACTTCTCGCCTATAGAACTCCCTCCTAATTTCTTGTTTCCCTGATAGCTATAATCTACAACTATTCAAATCTAATGTCAATCGACGTCTCCAGATGCCTTGATCTATCCCCTATTCTTCTCTTTACCCTTTCCTCTATCACTCCTCTTTGCTCTCGCTCCAACTCTCTGTAACCCCTTGTGTGCTAGTGGCCTTCCGCCTTGCTTGGGGTGAAATGGTTAAAAAAAAAAAATAGTATTTTACGTCTGTTTCAGTGAAATGGAAAAACTTGACAATTTGAAATTTGTAGCCCCTTACTTCTTAAAATAACGACCAGCATTCATATTTATGATTGTTATTGCAATATTTTGTTAAAGTCGTTAAGCTCAAATATTAAACGCTGAGATAGAGGAATTTCTACAGATATTCTTTATTGTCGTAGAACTCGCCATATTCAATCATTAACTGAAGAATTAAGAGTCATCAGAAATTTTAAATTAAGAAAACCGTGAAATTTTCCAGAGTTAAGATTAGTAAATTTAATTGAGGTATGGATGTTAATAGGTCTATTGACTAATGGATACATATATACTAAAACTAATATATATCTTGATAAAAGTCAAAGAAAGGTCTGCAATATAATCGATCCGGACCTGGCATCTCGGTTTCAGTCACTTTCTCACAGACGTGACAGCCTTACAGCCGATGTTGAAACACCAGTTCCCGTACGATCATCGAAGTTAAGCAAAGTTGAGTTTCTACAGTACCTAGATGGGTGACCGATTGAGAATACCAGGTGGCCGAATATATAATCGAAAGAAACAGATTCGAAACGTTTCGACACTATTTAATAGACTGAACCCAGATTCACATAATATCCCATGGAAGCAAGAAAAGTCAACTAGAAAATATAAAGAATTCCTTATCTATATTTTATTTAAAATCAAAATATATATTAACCTATATATATATATATATATATATATATATATATATATATATATATATATATATATCCTACTGGTGTCTGTTTAAACTGATGCCTTCTTTTCCCTTGATATCTCAAATATACTTATCATGTAAAAATTGTGCTTCTTCCTTCTTTCGTTGGTTTCTAAGTTCGCACGACCATTAAGTGCCGCCAATACCTCATAAATAAAGGACAATTCGGATTTGTTCCCGTGGAAAGACAAAAGACATATCTTGAGACGCTACTTGGTTTCAGTAAGACAATGAAAGAAAGAAGTGTTTAAATGTCTGTTTCAGGAAATGGAAAAAAGTTATCGATTTCAAATCGTTTCTTTTGTACCCTCTTACTTCTTTAAATAACGACCAGCATTCCGTATCGTAAAATACATCTATTGGATGCTTTAGTACACATCATCAGTGATGTTTCAAGCCAAGGGTCATTAGGGGTTTCGGATCTTTCAGCATCATACCCCCCCTCTCCACGGTGAGCCAGGTATACGGTATCGACTTGTGTACCTTCCGTCTTTTTTTTTTTCTGATTGTTATTGCAATATTTTTTAAAGTTCAAATATTTAACGATGCAGATGTTTTGGTCATTATTTACATTATTCGGACTATTGTCCTCATCTTTGTCGCCATATTTATTACGACGTTTCGGTCGTTGTACGCTCCGGCTTTCTTCAGGTGGTTGGAATCTCGAACTGAACCCTTTATTCTGTAGACTCTTCTAGTTCCATGTGCCATGTTTGATGGATATCAGTTATCAGTTATCTCTTGCTAATTTCCCTCTGAAAGTTATCCACTGCCTTAACCGGGTATTGAACTCACACTCTTTGGGTACTGTCACTGGATTTAACCAACGATGCAACAGGGAAATTTCTGCAGATGTTTTGTTCATTATTTTGTCGCCATATTTATCACAACGTTTCGGCCTTTTTCAGGTGGTTGGAATTTCGAACTGAACCCTTTATTTCGCTCACTGGGGTAGACTGTTCTAGTTCCACGTGCCATGTTTGATGTCAGTTATCAGTTATCCCTCTGAAAGTTTTCCACTGCCTTAACCAGGTATTGAACTCACACTCTTTGGGTCCTGTCACTGGATCTAACCAACGCCTTTATCCACTGTGTCCTTGAGGACATCTGGGTATGAATTTCTGGCTATTATAAACCTAATGTCTTCAGCAGCCATTTTTACCAGTGCTCATATTGCAATTTTGCTGTTATCATTGCATGTTTTTACCAGAGCTCATATTGCAACTGGTTACCATATTATATTTATTTCTATGCTTGGTAGGCTCAGATTTTTGTGGCCTAACATATGTGCTGACTCCTTAAGTTTACGAATTTTCCAATGGTGTTCGAAATTCCTACCACCTGAAGAAGGCCGGAGCGTACAATGGCCGAAACGTTGTGATAAATATGGCGACAAAGATGAGGATGATGATGAAGAAGAAGAAGAAGAAGAAGAGGAAGGGAGGAGGACTGAAAAGTATGTCACTATTTCAGGTAGGAAAGGGGCCGGTATTTTTTTTTCTTCTTTTTTTCTTTTCTTTTTTCTTTTTTTTTTCTCGCCGCAGAAGAGATTCTCAGCTATTTTTTTCTTGTCTGATTGATGTTTTCTGAACGGATAATTACTTTTTGTGACCTGCAAATTTCTACCACCATTCGTATTACTCAACACCTTTCCTCTACATCCCAATTTACTGTCGTCTGTTTTATATTTCTTTTTTTCTCCAGAAAATGAATTCCAGATCGGATAATAGATCAGCTGTCAATCTCTGGTCATCACGAGTTTTGCAGGTGCACCTGTATATCGCCCGATCATCGGTATAGATATACACAAACGATCTGAGAATACTCTTGAAGCAGATCATTTATCTAAAGTAAAAAGAGGGTTACTCCCAGAAGTGACCCGTGATGGATGCCTGCGTTGATTGCTTGGGCATAGGAGGACTGACCGTTAACAACAACCTTCAGAGACCTACGCGTTAGGAAGGACTTTATTATTGAGAAGACACTTCCATTAATTTCATAGTTGGAGAGCTTGAGCAATAAAACCTTTTTTTTGATACACCTTATCAAAGGTCTTCGAAATATCTAATGCTATGGTCCTTGGGGTGTATTTATTGTCTAGAACCTCACTGATTCTGTGAGTAATGGTAGTTAGGACATCAGCAGTGAATCAGGCCGATCGAAACCCGTACTTCTTGTCACTCAAGAGGTTATTCTTATGTAGGTACTCAACGACCTACTTGTTGATCATAGCCGCAAAAAGTTTACTCTTGATATTGAGGAGACTGATAAGGAGGAAGAGCGTTCACCCACGTTCTTGAAACCTGGGTATACGCTTGACATTTTCCACGGGCTTTGGAAGAATTTCTTTTCAAGCTACGGTTAAATAACTGTTCTAGGGTCAGGGATAATTCCGGGTGGATATTCTTAGGTGTTGTTCATAATGACGGTCGTTTTTGAGTATAGAATCCAAAGGTTAGCAGTGAATATTTCGAAGACAGTAGGAAAGCGTTGTTCAGGTTAGCAGTGGCTATTTCGATAAAAGTAGCAGAGCGTAGTTCGTCCTTCTGTTTCTCTTCGCTTGACAAGCTGGACTGGACATTCGGGTAGAGTGAACAAAAATGGCCGCCTTTATACACGACGGATTGAATATTCTACGTCTTCTGATTGGTTAACCTTCTATTGGTGGACTATAAAGGGAGTTAAGTCATTTGAACTCACTCGTCATACATATATACACAAAAAACTGTAACATTAAGAGCAACCAGTGGAATTATGTCTGGGTCAGTGACTTTCTTAGGGTCATGGATTTTGATAAGTTTTAAGACTTCCCGGGCTGCAATGAGTTAGTGCTCAGTGAGACAGGGGAAGTTGGGAAGTGGGTGGTCTTTGTCATCAGACGTTGAATTCGAGGCAAAGATCGGGGCGAAGAGCATCGCCTTCTTTTTCTTTCTCTATTTTCCCTCTTTCTTTCTGTAGGTATTTCTCTATTTTCATCTTTTTTTTTCTTGCTCCTTCATTTCCTTTGCCCTTTCTTTCTCTACCTTTTTCCTTTCTCTCGTTTTCAGTTTTATCGCTTTTCATCTTTGTTTCTTTTTCTATTCCTTTCCTCTCTAATTCTTTTCTCTTTATTTCTTCACGTCTTTCTTTCTCTACGTTTTTCTTTTCACTCGCTGTCGGTTGTTGTGTCCCTCTTCTTTATTCTCCCCTTTTCTGTCTTTACGTATTTGCGTTTTTAGTTTAATCTCTTCTATATTTTCTTCCTTCCTTTCTTTCTTTCTTTCTTTCTTTACATATTTCTTTCTTTCCTTCTTTCTTTCTTTACATATTTCTTTCTTTCTTTCCTTCTTTCTTTCTTTCTTTACATATTTCTTTCCTTCTTTCTTTCTTTCTTTACATATTTCTTTCTTTCTTTCCTTCTTTCTTTCTTTCTTTCTTTACATATTTCTTTCCTTCTTTCTTTCTTTCTTTTCTTTCTTTCTTTACATATTTCTTTCTTTCCTTCCTTTCTTTCCTTCTTTCTTTCTTTCTTTCTTTACATATTTCTTTCTTTCCTTCTTTCTTTCTTTACATATTTCTTTCTTTCTTTCCTTCTTTCTTTCTTTCTTTCTTTACATATTTCTTTCTTTCCTTCTTTCTTTCTTTCCTTCTTTCTTTCTTTACATATTTCTTTCCTTCTTTCTTTCTTTCTTTCTTTCTTTTCTTTCTTTCTTTACATATTTCTTTCTTTCCTTCCTTTCTTTTCGTTCTTTCTTTCTTTCTTTCTTTCTTTACATATTTCTTTCTTTCTTTCTTTCTTTCTTTACATATTTCTTTCTTTCTTTCCTTCTTTCTTTCTTTCTTTCTTTCTTTACATATTTCTTTCTTTCCTTCTTTCTTTCCTTCTTTCTTTCTTTACATATTTCTTTCCTTCTTTCTTTCTTTCTTTCTTTCTTTTCTTTCTTTCTTTACATATTTCTTTCTTTCCTTCCTTTCTTTCCTTCTTTCTTTCTTTCTTTCTTTACATATTTCTTTCTTTCCTTCTTTCTTTCTTTACATATTTCTTTCTTTCTTTCCTTCTTTCTTTCTTTCTTTCTTTCTTTCTTTCTTTACATATTTCTTTCCTTCTTTCTTTCTTTCTTTCTTTTCTTTTTTTCTTTACATATTTCTTTCTTTCCTTCTTTCTTTCTTTACTTCATTCCTTCTTTCTTTCTTTCTTTCTTTCTTTTCTGCTTTCTTTCTTTCCTTCTTTCTTTCTTTCTTTACATATTTCTTTCTTTCTTTCCTTCTTTCTTTCTTTCTTTTCTTTCTTTCTTTACATATTTCTTTCCTTCTTTCTTTCTTTCTTTCTTTTCTTTCTTTCTTTACATATTTCTTTCTTTACTTCATTCCTTCTTTCTTTCTTTCTTTCTTTCCTGCTTTCTTTCTTTCTTTACATATTTCTTTCCTTCTTTCTTTCTTTTCTTTCTTTCTTTACATATTTCTTTACTTTCACTTCCAGTTTTCTTTCTTTATTTTCCCCTTTCTTTCTTTCTTTCTTTCTCTATTTACTTTTCAGTTTTCACTCTCTTCTTTATTTCCTTCCCCTCTTTCTTTCTCTACGTCTTTCTTTTTCTCTCCTTTTCAGTTTTTCTCCTCTTTCTTTTCTGCCCCTCTCTCTGTTTCTCTCTTATTTCTTATTTTCTATTCTCTTTCATAATCCTACTTTCTTTCTTTCTCTCTCATTTATTTCGTTATTTGTATTTAGATCTTTCTTTCTCCCCATATTATATATTCTATCGCTTTCAGTGTCCCCCTTCCTCTATTCCCTCCTCCGTCTTTTACTCTTCTGACTTTCCCTCTT